TGGGAACTTGGGTTGCTTCCATCTCTTTGCTATTGTAAATAATGCAGCAATAAATATGGGTGTGCATGTATCTGTTTGTATAGCAGTTCTGGATTCTTTAGGGTATATTCCCAGTAGTGACATTGCTGGGTCCCATGGTATTTCTATTTCCAACTTTTTTGAGAAAGCACCAAACCACCTTTCATAGTGATTACACTATTTTACACTCCTACAAGCAATGACTAAGTATTCCAATCTCTCCATATCCTTTGCCAGAATTTATTGTTTACTGTTCTGTTGAACTTTGCTATTGTTGCTGGGATGAGATGATATTTCCTAGTTGTTTTGATTTGCATCTCTCTCATAGCTAGGGATTTTGAACTTTTCTAAATGTGTTTGCCATCTGAATGTCTCCTTTGGTAATGTATCTATTTATATTCTGTGTCCATTTTGTGATTGGATTGTTTACCTTTTTCTTGTTGAGGTGCTGGAGTAGTCTATAAATTTTTAGATATGATTCCCTTATCAGGTATTTTTTTTCCCAGTCTGTGGCTTTCCTTATTACCCTGTTGTTTTTTGATGTGCATAGGGAATGGATTTTTAGAAGGTGTCATTAATTTCTTTTGTTCTATCCTTGTTGTAGGCCCCTTTCATGATTTTAAACCATGTAATGTTCCCTTGCTCTGTTCAGACAGTAATCTCTTGATCTAGGTATAGGCTTTGCATGAGCGTAAGTGTTCTGCGATTCTCATCCTTCTCAATGTTAGCCGTAGTTTGTTGCGATTCACACAGTTAAATGCCTTTGCATAGTCAATAAAGCGTAAATAGACATTCTTCTCTTATTCTCTGCTTTCGCCAGGATCCCTCTGACATCAGACATTAGCAGTGGTATCTCTGGTGCCACAGCCGCATCCAAACCCAGCCTTAACTTCTGGAAGTTCTATGTCTTTGTGCTTTTCTAGCTGTTTTTGGATGATCTTCAGCAATATTTTGCATATATGCAATATTAATGATATTTTTCCAATAATTTCCACATTCTGTTGCACTATCTTACCGAGGAATGGGAATAAATAGGGATCTCTTCCATTCAGTTGGCTAGGTAGGTGTTTTCCAAATTGTCTGGCATAGACTGATTAGCACAGACTGGGACTCATCTGTTATTTGAAGCATGTCAGTTGATATCCCAACAATTCCTGGGGCCTTTATGTTACAAATGCCATCAGTGTACCTTGAACTTCTTTATCACTGTTTCCTCCTGATCCTGATTGTACTTCCTGAAATATTTCCATGTTGGCCAATTCTTTTTGGTACAGTGATTCTGTGTGTTCCTTAAATCTTCTTTTAATGCTTCCTGGATATCTCATTATTGCAACACAAGGCTTGATTTTTTTTTATTTCAGCTTGGAGGAATGCTAAGTTCTCCCTATTTTATTCTCCAGTTCCAGTCCTCTGCACATTCTAATACTTTGTCTTGTCGAGCTGCCCTTTGAAATCTTCTGTTCAGCTCTTTTATTGCAGTGTCTCTTCCCCTTTTGGGGGCTTCTTGATGTTCTAGTATAATTTTCAGAATCCATTCTGACATCTGTTTTTGATGTCTTCTTTCTCCCCTAGCTTTGTAATGACCGTTTCCTCGCTTCGTGAATGATGTTCTTGAAGTTATGCCACAGCTCATCTGGTCTTCATTCATTAGTGCTCAGTCTTAAGAGGATTTTAGTGAGGTGGAATAGACTCAAAGTCTTATTTTGGTTCTTATGGACTTGTTTTCATTTTCTTCAGCCTCAATTTGGACTTGCATTGGCCATAACAAATATACATAAATCAGTGAATGAGAGATACTCCTCTCCCCTGACAGATCCTTGCCGTTGGACTTTTTTTTTTCCACATCCACTATAGAACCGACTCGGTGGCACATAACAACAACAACTTGAGTGGAAATCAGAGCATGCCACTTCTCAGAACTGGGGATCCCATCAACATCCTAAAAAAACAATACATTTGTCTTTTTAAATGAAAATTATTAGCAAAATGCTTTTTTAAAATGTGTTTCTATAATACGTTAGGGAGCTCTGATGACATGGTCTGTAACAAGTTGCCATACAAACTCGAAGGTTGCAAGTCTTCAGCTATTTCAGTCCTCCAGCAGCTCCTTGGGGTAAAACTGGATCATCTTCACTCATGGCAGGTTGTTGTTATGGTTGTTGTTATGGTTGTTATTTGGTGCTGTCAAGTATGACTCATGACAGCCCTATGAGCAGCATAGCTGAACCCTGTCCTGTCTTGTGTCAGCCCACCTCGTTGAGGGTCTTCTCCTACACCGACCTTCAGCCTTTCCAAGCATGATGTCCCTCTCCAATAACTAGCCTCTCTTAGCACATACCCGAAGTAGGTGAGATGAAACTTTACCATCTTTGCTTCCAAAGAGCACTGAGGCTGCACTAAGACACATTTGTTTGTTCTTTTGGCAGACCACATGGTGTTCAGTACTCTTCTCCAACTCCACAGCTCAAAGGTGTCAGTTCTTCTTCTGTCATTTCTGTCATCCTTATTCATTGTCCAGCTATCAGATGCCTAGCAAGTGATCAGAAAGACCATGGCCTGGATCAAGTGGATCTCAGTCCTCAAACTGACATTATTGCTCTTAGATAATTTGGAGAGTTCCTGACTCCAGACTTTCCCATTCCAATGCATCTCCTTGTTTTCTGACTCCTGGTATCAAGGGTGTTAATTATGAATGCAAGTAAGATGAAACTCTTGACACTTTCAATCTTTTCTCCATTTATCATGATGTTGTCTCTTAATCCAGTGATAAGAATTTTTGTTTTCTTGGCCTTGAGATACTCTCCATATTGAAGGCTATATTCTTTGATCTGCAACAAGCGCTTCAAGTCCTCCTCACTTTCAGCAAGCAAGGTTGTATCATCTGCATAACAAAGACGAGTCTTCCCCAAGCCTGATGTCACATTCTTCTTCATAGAGTCTGGCTTCTCGAATCATTTGTTCAGCATACAGATTGAATAGGTATGATGAGATAATACATCCCTGATGTATAGTGACAGAATACAACCTTGGCACACTCCTTTTTTAATTTTAAACCGTGCAGTGTTCCCTTGCTCTTTTCACACAACAGTTTCTTGGTCTAGGTCTAGGTTTCTCATTTGCACAGTTAAGTGCTCTGGGATTCCTGTTCTTCTCAATATTAGCCATAATCTATTATGATCCACAGTCTAATATCTGTGCATGGTCAGTAAAGCACAAGTAGATGGGGTTTTTTGGTATTCTCTACTTTCAGCCAGCATCCATCTGACATCAGCAGTGATATCCCCGGTGCCACGGCCTCTTCTAAATCCTGCTTGCAATTTACAGCCTAAGAAACCTGACAGAGGATTCCTGAGTTGAAACTGACTCCAAAGCAGTTGACTTTTTTTTTTTGTTTTTATATATAAACTTAAGTATTTGTTTAATAAACAGGTACTGTACTATAGACACTAGAAAATACTTGTTGCTGGGTGGCTTTGATGTCATTGGAATAAGTTGACATGCCTGACTCCATAGGAAGAGGAGAGTAGCACCCCTCACTCGACAGGGCTGTGGTGGAGTTTTCTGCTCAGGTTGCTATAATCTGTCCACCCATAGAGATTTGAGTCTTCCATTGTCCACCTCTCGGCATCATGAGGATGAACATTTTGCAAGCAGTTTTATTCACTTCTTTTCTTTTAAACCTAGAACTCTTATTGACCCATAGCCACGTAATAATTTTTTGTTGTTGTTTGTTTGTTTAGTAGTTCTTTCTGAAAGAGTTTATTAGTTGAATATTTGGACTTCCATGAGGCCTGTTAAGGGAAAGCATAAAACTCAGAACTTAACCATTAAAATATTAGTTTTGCTGTGACAAGATCAGGCTCATGGTTCTCCCAGCCTTTTAGTCCTGCCTTGTCCATGAACCATTGGCATCTGGGTTGTAGCCATCAAATGGCACTTTGTTGAAAAGTCAGAAACCACCACAGTTTACCTGGACACCATGTCACTCTTCTGAAATGAGTTGATACAAAGAGTGATAAAATAAGCTATTTGGGGCCTCCTTTATGAGCTATTGACTGGGCTGCTAGGTGAATCTGAGCGATAAACTTCCACAGAAAGTAAATGAGCAATTATTTTGTACTGTTTTCTAGATGAGGTGCAGGGTGCGGCAGAAAGAGCAAGTGTTGACATTAGACAAGCAGGCTTGCAAACTTGTCACCCTAGGCTTTTCTGTCTTCCTTTCTTTCCTTTTTGTAAATTCTTGGATCCTCAGCCTTCTCCCTGAACTCTGGTGGCCACTTGTGTGCTCTGGAATGAGAACCAAAACATAGCTCCCCTTCAGTGAGTTTTCAGAGCAGTATATCACACAGGAGGAGAATATCCATGTTTCTCCCAAGGAGCAGCTTGTAGATTTGAACCACATGCATTTGGGTTGGTAGTGCAGCTCCTTAACACTGGATCACCAGAGCTCTGATGGCCTAGTGATAAGGAATTACACTGCCAACAAAAAGGTACATGGTTCGAGTCAACCAGCTGCTCCATGGGGAAAAGATGGGCAGTCTCCTCCTGTATGATTTACTGCCTCTGAAAACCCGCTGGAGGGTCAACCACGGGTTGGTTCCAACTCTGTGGTAAACAACAACTGCCTACTTACTATGAAGGATCTGCAGACGTGCCCATGAAAATCATCGCCCTGAAAGTCCCACGGCGTCCTTTCCTCTTTCTGACATGGGGGTACCAGGGTCAGACGAGCTCCATGATGGGGACAGGAAAGCCTCTGTCCCTTCTGATCCAAATGCTAAGCACAGTGTGGCACATCGATGACACCAGAGATGCATACTGCAGCGAATCAGCATTGAACTCCCAAGACCCCTGTGGAAGCCTTTGGCTGTAACTCTGGTTGTCCCCAGCCAGCCACCTCCCAGTTATGTTGGTTATGGAAGTGTACTTTTTAAATTTTGTTATGCACTTTCCCTCACCCTTTCCCTCTCTGTCTGTTTCAGATCTGTAAAAGCAAGCCTAAAGAATCGCAGCAGTATTATCATAGCTTGGCCATCCGCCAGAGTCTGGCTATCCATTTTAACATCCAGCAGGACTGTGGCCATTTCCTCGCCGAAGTTCCTAACCGCCTCCTTCCCTGGGAAGATCCTGATGCCCCTGAAAAGGACGAGGATAAAGAGGAAGAGCCAGACGAGGAGCTGAAGGGAGAGGCTGATGGGAAAAGCCCAGAGGCCAGCTCTGAAGCAGAGTCCGCCCAGAAGGATGGCCAGGGAGACGTGAGCAGGAAGCAGAGGAGCCACGTGGTGGTCATCACCAGGGAGGTGCCCTGTCTCACGGTGGCCGACTTTGTGCGCGACTCCCTGGCCCAGCACGGGAAGAGCCCTGATCTGTATGAGAGGCAAGTGTGCCTCCTGCTCCTGCAGCTGTGCTCCGGCCTGGAGCACCTCAAACCCTACCACGTCACTCACTGCGACCTGCGCCTGGAGAACCTGCTGCTTGTCCACTACCAGCCCGGGGGCCCCACCCAGGGCCTCAGGCCTGCAGAGCCCAGCCCCACCCCGTCTGCTCCCACCAGGCTCATTGTGAGCAACTTCTCTCAGGCCAAGCAGAAGAGCCATCTGGTGGACCCCGAGATCCTCCGGGACCAGTCCCGCCTCGCCCCAGAGATCATCACGGCCACCCAGTATAAAAAGTGTGACGAGTTCCAGACGGGCATCCTCATCTACGAGATGCTGCACCTGCCCAACCCCTTCGACGAGAACCCGGAGCTGAAGGAGAAGGAGTACACGCGGGCAGACCTGCCGCGCATCCCGCTCCGCTCCCCCTACTCCCGGGGCCTGCAGCAGCTGGCCAGCTGCCTCCTGAACCCCAACCCTTCCGAGCGGATCCTCATTTCAGATGCCAAAGGCATCCTCCAGTGTCTCCTCTGGGGCCCCCGCGAAGACATCTTCCAGACCTTCACCACCTCCCCCAGCCCAGCACAGAGGAGCGCCCTTCTTCAGAACTGGCTGGACATCCGGCGAACGCTCCTGATGATCAAGTTTGCCGAGAAGTCCCTGGACAGGGAGGGCGGCGTCAGCCTCGAGGACTGGCTTTGTGCTCAGTATTTGGCTTTTGCCACTACAGACTCCCTCAGTTGTGTTGTGAAAATCCTCCAGCACCGTTAGCGTGGCCTGGATGCTGCTTTCATATCGTTCTCACCTTCTTCGTGTCACCCGCGTGCTCCCCCTTCCTAAACTCATACAGAATTCAAGGAAAAAAAGAGAGACAAGCCTTCTGTCCCTCCCCGTGAGCAAATAAGTCCATCCAGAAAGGCTTCCCACAGCTCCAGATCAAGTGGGAAGCTGAGTCTGTCCAAACGTTACAGAAATCCAGCTGTACAAACGGGCAGTGGCCTTCCATTGAAGCACCCCGACTCTTAACAGTCCCCCCAAGTGCACGTAAAGGCACAGGAGGACACATCCTCCGGGATGAGTTCAGTGAGCTGTTTTCAGTCACCCCATAACTCCCATGATCATCCATCATGTGAAACACCACATATTTCTTCTCACAAGCAATAGACAGTTTAACTAGCCATCATCCAGTAAGTCTCAGAAGAGACGCCTCCTTCTTGAAGGTCTCAGTCGCTGCCTTGGGGATCAGGCAGGCACGCCCTTCTGAGCATCAGGCCAGCTGTGGTTCCTGGGGACTACGACCTTTGCTCCAGCTGAGAGTACAAGTTAGAGGATGGAACCCGTCCTTGGGGTCCTTTTCCATTCTCTTGTTGAGAGGAGTGTGCCCTGCACAGAGATGGCCCCACAGCTTCCCCTCGGCCGCCGCTCCTGCTACACCACCTCTGCTCTGTCCCCACTGGCTCTCATTGTTGGGGCCTGTGGCTCATTCCAGAGCTCATCCATGGTGCCACCATGCCTCAGTGGGTGGAGTGAGGCTCAGATCTTAGAAAGAGCACACAGCACCCAAAGAGATGATTTTCCTGGCTGTGCGACCCATCAGGGGGCAGGGGGCAGGGTTTAACACACAGCTCTTTGGTTGCTGTCTGCAGTGGGGACAGGGCTGGCTGTGGCCCATCACCGTTTTCCCCCTAAGCAATAATCGGCTAGTTCCCTTCCATCAGTAGCCACTGTTAACTAGTCTACTAAATTCTGTGGACACCAGCCCTGAACGGAATGACTGTCAACTGAGGTCTCAGACCTGAGAGGGCACAGGCAGCCAGCTATTGGGGTGGCACGAGGCCAGGGAGGGGACAGAGCCACTCAATGAGACTGCTGTCCTCCTCCTCAGAATGCTGGCCTTCGCTCTGGAGCCAGCCACCCAGTGCGCTGGCTGCTGCTCCTCTGACTCCCGAGAAACGGCTCGGAGGACAGCTCACGGAGAATCCCGATGGCCGGCATGGGCGGCTGAGCGCTGTCTGCCCTGCATGGAGCCTGCGCTCCTCCCCTATGGATATATGTGCAATTTCTGTATGTATTTTTTTTCTCTTCAGCTGTATATTACAGTGTTTATGTTGCAACTTCACCTGAAGCGGGACCGACCGAAACGCTCCCCGTTCTTCCCCTGGCACATATTTGCGCTGAGAGACGAGGGTTCCTTCCACAGGGGTGTGTGAGTGTGTATTTGTGCGTGCAAGCGTGTGAATGGACTTATTTTATCCCAAGCTGTGAGTACCTGTTTACTGCAACCTTGAATTCCCGAGAGTCACCCAACCAACGTGGTGAGTGTGCTGGTGCGGGGTGAGCACCGCAGCCAGGCGTGGAGGCGAGGTCTCTGGGGGCACATTCTCTGCACGAGTCCCTGAGGGCGTCCTGGGCCCTCCGCCACCAGCGCGGAGCTTCTACAAGCCAAGACTGAGCGTGCAGTATTATTTTAATAGTACATTAGTGGCCTTGGACATTTCTAAACCTTTCACATTTTAGCAGCCTTTCATGTGATTCACCTGTATCAAAGAGGATCAAGAAAGGAGAATGTATTTTATTGTGCTCTTTTTTTTTTTTTAAAGAAACACATTTGAAAGGGATACATGCAGCTCCATGGTGAGGCTGTCCTTGTCCTGGCCAGCAGTACAGGACACCAAGGGAAGAGAGCTGGTAGAGTTTTGCCTCTTCTCACCAAAGGAGAGGTACATTCTCAGCCCCCAGCAATGGCCCCAAGGTGGGCATCCCTACAGGCAGCCTGTCCGCATGCTATCAGTGTCTGGTGACCTGGCAGGCTGGTGTTAGCGTCACCTTAGCATAGCCCGTGTGCACATAACTCCTTGCCTGATTATACACTGAACTGGCAGAATACAGACCACTGGCCGCGTCAGCCAGCACATTCCCTCAGCCCCCTGCCCACGGTCCCCACATTGAGACGTAGCTTACGAGTGTCACTCTCGTGGTGCCTTGCCCATGTAAATTTTGAATGTTGACTGCTTAATGAGCTTTCCTATTTAATGCAGAATCTTCCCCTTTTGTTCTCTAGGTGTGTGTGTGTGTGTGTGTGTGTGTGTGTGTGTGTATATATATATTTTTATTTCCTAGTCTTCATTTTTACTCTAGTATAATAACCATGGACACACTCCACTCCCATAATTTTGTAGCACTGGCAAACTGAGCACCTCTCATATCAGATGTGCTTATTACTGTTTTTATATCTAAATTTGGTAAAGGAGAAAGATGAATGTCAACTAGTCACAGAAGAGCCTCGGGCCTTCCCAGAGTCAAATGGCTCGATGACTTTTTTTCCTCTGAGTGATGGTGAGGCTTGGGAGGTCGGCAGAGAAGAGGGTAGGAAGTTAGAACAGGATGCAGGAAAGAACTGTACATCTAGGCAGGAAGTACTACAAATATGCTCGTCAGGCTCTGTTGTCTCCAAATGACAGTTACTCTAACCTTGTCCACTTGCTGTTTCTGTTTTGACTGTGGTAGGAACTTTTAATTCATTCATTAACTGGAAAAAAATCCTGCACATACATACATTTACACACACACAGGTGTTTTGGATTGTGAGTAGTATATAGCACTTTAAGTTTTCTCAACATTTTCAATATTGATTGGAGGTTGGTGGGGTGCTTTTTTCCTATTAAATTCTTCCACTATATTGATAATTTGAACAAATAAGCCACTTTAGGAACTTTTTTAATGCCACATAGAGCAAGAACAATCTCTCTGACACACTGGGTGCTGGAGAACAAAGACAGTGGCCTCAGTGGCCATGACCAAGACTGAATGTATAGCCGAGTGCCTTGCTAGAGTGAAAACTAGTCTTAGAAGGAAGAGAGTCAATGGATGGGCTGCCGCAAGGAGGGCCACGAATGAGAAGCTTCCCCGTGCTGGTCTGGGGAGAGTCCTTTGTGCCTCTCTGCATATGTGATGCCCAGACCATAATTCTGGAAGAAGAGGGGCAGAATGGGTCAAAGAGCTCTCAGAACCTATGGACGCCTATGGACATTGATGAAAGAATTATGAATGGGGGCTGAAAACTGGGAGTCAGGATTATAGCAGTGCATTTCATGGTGTGTCCTCAGAAGCTGGAGGAGCCGGGTGAAGTGAGCCCAAGCACCTACTGATGCTGAGGTGATGAAAGCAAAGCGTGTCTGTGGGACTGTGAGCCTGAGTAGCCGTTGTTAGACTAAATGGGACCAGTTTTGCTCCCAAACTCAGAATAAGTTTGTGAACATGGAAAACTCTTTTCAGATTCTGGTTCTGGTGGTGAAGTCAGTAAGGAGCTCTGCTGTTAACCCTGAAGCCGTGCCTCTCTGATGTTTCAGATCCACCAGGAGAAAGGTGTGCAGTCTCCTTCCATGTGATTTGTAGCCTTGGCGTCCACTGGAGGGTCTCTGAAGGAGTTCCAACTCAAGGCAGTGAGTTTTGAGTGAGCCGTGCACAATGCCTATGAAAGCTTTTCGGCCTCACGAGTAGGAGGGCATAGAAGCATTGCACTCACCTCCAACATTGGAGTTACAGGTGCTCTGGTGCTGGGAAGTAACCAGACTTGGATTTGTTGGAAATCTGAAATTGAGATTTTCTTTCCTCCCCTCCTTAGATTTTATCCGCAGTGATCTGAAAAAACAAATGCAGGCTAATCTCAGAAATCAGGATGGCTGTAGGGTACTGCACTATTATCTCAAACTTCCAGCTTTGTGAATAGAGTGTGAACATGTTTGGAGAGGGGACAGAGAGCTCTGACTTTCTAGGACCATTCTGACATGCCTCCCATTCCGCTCACTAGCTTGAGAATTCTGGTCCAGCCTCATGAATTGAACAGGATGGCTGCCTACAAAACCAGGTTATTAGTTTTACCTCATTGAAGCTGATATTTTCAAAGGCCAAAAGTGCTGTGCCGAGGTGTGTCCAAGTGCTGCTCTTGCTGAAGTGTGCCCTCAAGTCCTGACAGCGGGGTTCCACGGATCAACCCATCCCAGAAAGGGAGACGAAGAGCAGCAGTGCCAGGCCCTGGACAGAGGTGATACCAAAGAGCCCAAGCCGCCTATCCTGATGCCTCTGAGAGATGATGGTAGAGTTGTGGCCGATGCCAGGGAAGGGGAAATCACATACATTCCACATCAGGGTATTCAGCTGATAAATTCTTTTATAAAAAGCACCTGTAGGGTTTTGTTGTTTTATTTTTTAAAGCAAGACCACTGTGTACATTAGAAAAGGTGATGATGAAAGCTCTGGGCAGATTGCAAAGTTCCCCAGTATTTATGGATTTATGGAGAGGAGACCATGGCTGTAGTTTGACAAGATGAGCTATATTCCAAACCTCAGCTTAGGAACATCTCATCATTAGGACACTGTTAGCTGAAGGCTTTGGGGTTGGTTTGGTTGGTTGTTTTTTTTTTTCCTTTTGTAAGTGATATGGTAGTTTCAATAGAACTCTTGGGGAATTTCTTAACAAATTATAATCATTTTTATCAACCTTCCTATAAGTGCCCAGAAGGTACAAGGTGCTATACAGCTGACGAACACCCTCTCTCTGCAGCTGTTTGAAATTAGAGTAGGTTTTTGCATCAACCACAGTTGGCTGCCTCCCCCACTTTGGTGACTGGGGGTGATGGTGCCTGCCTTTCCAGACACCGTGTTACATTTCCCACCATGCCCAGAGCCTCCGCTCCTGTTCCAGCTTCTCACCTTCATCTGCCCAACCTCCCTTCTCATCCCATCTCCCTAACCCCCACAATACGTTTCCC